CAAGGAGCTTTGCACTTTCATTTTGCATTGAGCCCCACAGATTATGCAAGCAGCCCTGCCTGCTGAGTTTGTGTACTACGCTTTCCAAGACAGATAGGTTCGGCCTGTGCAGCTGCAGCCCTCCTTCCATCCTCGCTCCCAGAGTTGGTAACAGAACTCCCAGAGGTAAGCTGAGGACTGCAGAGAAAGGAGTCCTTGGGCCTGAGACCTCCCTTAACTTTTATGTCACAAACTAGGTTGTTGGGAGGGAGCATAGCTTTGAACAAGGAAACTGTGGCGCAGGACAGTTCCCACAGCTGTGAGCCATCAGCAGCTGGGGGCTGGGAGGTCGGCCCTGAGGAGGGATCTGGGTAGAACACAGCAGTGTCTACTACAGTCCACCCCTTACACCACTTCATTCACTCGCTTCCTATAATGAGTTTCGTCTACTGGAGAAGCGCTTATCTGGGATTCTGGAGTCTTGTTTTCTGGGAAACTTAAAAGAGAAGGGTTAGCCCTGGCTGGTTTGGCTCAGTGGGCAGAGCGTCGGCCTGTGGACTGAAGGTTCCCAGGTTCGAGTCCAGTCAAGGGCACATGCCTGGGTTGCTGGCTCGATCCCCAGTGTGGGCGTGCAGGAGGCAGCCGATCCGTGATTCTCTCTCATCACTGATGTTTCTCTCTCTCTCTTCCTCTCTGAAGCTTCCTTGCTCACCTGGGAAGACAGTGAGGCTCCCCACTGGCTCCCGAGAGTCCCCAGTGAGACTGTGCCCCAGCTGCCCACAGAAGTCACCAGCTGCTTCGCTCACCTTGGACTGGCTCCCTTTCCCAGTCCATCACCTGGGGCCTCTTCCCAGGGGAACCGCTTGTACCCACATCCTCTGGGTCTCAGGGAGCCGGGGTCTTAGAAGTCACCCCGGCTCTTCTTGACCTGTAGGCACTGCCGGTCGGTGGGCACAGCTACGCAGAAAAGCTCCCAGCAGCCTCCACGGTGGCCCAGCCTAACCGTCACTTGTCACTTCGCGGCCCACCTCTTCACTTCCTCGTCAGCCTTCACCCCTCCCGCTGGCATGTAAAACCTCCTCGTCATCGTATGATCTCTCTCTTTTGCTGGGAGGTGGAGAGGAGCTGACCACCACCGGCAGCGGGGGAGCCCTCCTGTCCTTGCGGTGGGCGCTAACCTGCTTCCCCAGGCCCAGAGCCCGGGCTCTTCCCCGCTGTTCCTCACCTCCCGGCTGTCAGGCTGTCAGGCTGTCAGCCGTCACCCCCAGCTGCTCGCCATAGACCCGCCCGCGGCTGCATGAAGTTCACAGGAGGGGCGGGCCCGCTGCTGTAAATCACACCCCCCCCCGCCCCCCCGCCTGCACCCCAAGCCAGGGAGCAAGTCCCAGCTTGCCGCTGAGGCCATAAACCGCTCCCCTAAGGGCCCCTTTGTCAGGGCGTGCAGTGCAGGCCAGGCGTCAGCCAGGGCCCGTAAAGCCCGCCGCCCTTGTGCAGACATCCCGCCCCCCCCCGCCCCCGCCTGCCCTGAGGGTCCCAACCTGAAACCCACAAGGACACTGTTGCTGGGTTCGCCCAGAGGCAGCCTGGACTCATTTGCCTTGCGGTTTGTTTCTTAGCTTCACAGATGGCTCTGCAGGCCAGACAAGGCCTCCTAGCCTTGCCCACTTGAACAGCGGGAGCTCAAGGACTTCCCAGGGAGCTGGGGGGGGGGGGGGGGCTCTCAGGTCTCCATGGAGATGGCAAACAGTTCACCTCAGGGGAAAACTGGTGCTGCCCTTGAAGGGCAGTTGGGGGGAGGATGGGGGGGCACAGGGGTTTCGCCTCTCGCCCTCATCAGCAGGGTCCAGGGGCCGTTCCCTACGGGCCCAAGGCGCGCCTGGTCCCTAGTGATGGATCCACTGCAGCAGCCCTCCCAGCCTCGGCGGCAGCGTCCGCGCAGAGCCAAGCAGCAGAGGACGGTACTGCTCAGACCCAGAGCCCAGGCTTCCAGCAGCCCACATGTCCTCCCGCAGCGGAATGGACGCTCAGACAACGGGATACAGGAGAACAGAGCAGGAGGGTGGATCTCAGAAGTTCCTCACCCCCCGCACGTTTGGCTCAATGGCTGTGGACCCATGACCCAGGAGGGCAAGGTTCGATTCCCAGTCACAGGCCCGGGTTTCGGGCTCGATCCCCAGGGGGCGGCGTGCAGGAGGCAGCCGGTCCATGATTCTCATTGTTGATGTTTTTCTCTCCTTCTCCCTTCCTCTCTGAAATCAATAAAAATTATATTTTTGAAAGTTCTCATCACAAGAAAAAAAATTTATAACTATGGTGACGGATGTTAACTAGACTAAAATGTGGTGATCATCTGGCAATATATACAAATACCAAATCATCATGTTGTACACCTGAAATGAATATGTTATATGTCAATTATACCTCCATAAAAAATTAAAATATTTTTTAAAGAACAAAGCATGGATACACACAATGACATGAATGAATCACATAGATACTCTGCCACGTGAAATAAGCCAGACATATAAGAGTAAATACTACACGCATCTATTTATATGAAGCTTTAAAATAGGCAAAATTTAATCTACGGTAGTAAAGTAGTCATAGCAGTACCTCTGGGAAGCTAAGGGGGGGTGATACTGGCTAGGAAGGGATGCAAGAGAGCTCTCTGGGGGTGATAATGGTCCCTATCTTGATTTGAGTGCTGGTCACGTGGTACATACACACAGCAAAAGCAATCGAGCTCTCCACTTAAGATCTCCGCTCTTTCCAGCATGTAAATTATACATTAGCATAGTACTGGCAGGGAGAACCCCCATTTCTGACCTACAAAACTATGAGCTAGTAAATGGGCTGTGCTTTAAGCTGCTGAATGTGTCGGAATCGGTTACACAGCCATGGACAACGGATCCATCTCGTCCTGACATTGGCCCTGCCTCCGGCTGACTGTGTAACCTGGGGAATGTCACTCAACCTCTCTGAGCTCCAGCTGCCACACTTAACGAAAACCATAACTCGTTTCCTGCCTGCAGCATTCATGTGAAAAGCAAATCAGTTCATGTATGTGGACGCACTTGGAAAGTTATAAAGCAGCTTGTAAATGAAAAGTTCATTATTGTCCTATTAAAAGTAGCCTCCCACCCAGCCGGCATGGCTCAGTGGTTGAGCATCGAACTATGAACCAGGAGGTCATGGTTTGATTCCCGGTCAGGGCACAGGCCCGGGTTGTGGGCTCGATCTCCAGTGTGGGGCGGGCAGGAGGCAGCCGGTCCATGATTCTCTCTCATCATGGATGTTTCTCTCTCCCTCTCCCTTCCTCTCTGAAATCAATTTTTAAAAAAAATAACCCCCCAACTGTGAGCACAAGAAATGATTTCGAATCAAGCAGCGCAGGGCTAAGCCGGCTTTCCTTACAGGCCTCAGCCACCGCGGCTGGAGCAGGCAAGCCGGGGGGTGAATGGTGCCCAGCGCTCTCCTTCCGCACGCGCCACCTGCATACCATTCTGTCTCTGCCATGGATTGGACGCGGGCAGATGCCTTCACATTTATTTATGACTATATTTTTTTCTTCCCCAAAGGAAGAAACATGGGCATTTTCTTTCTCACTTGCTAGAAAGTTCTATGCCTTCTAGAACCCTGCAGCTCTCTCTCTGGCAGGGAAAGATGCCCTCATCTCATGAAAACAAGGAGGAAGGGCAGGAGGAAGGAGCCTGGTGTGGGACATGCACCGTCCTGGGCCCCGCCTAGCCGGGTCAGGGAACAGCTCCAAGCCCGGAGCCTCTTTGTTGTTGTTGTTACTCCTCACCCGAGGATATTTCCCATGGATTCTTAGGGAGAGTGGAAGAGAGAGGGAGAGACAGACAGAAACATCGATGTGAGAGAAACACATCCGTTGGTTGCCTCCCGCAAGATCCCGACCAGGGCTGGGAGCCTGCAACTGAGGTACGTGCCCTTGACCAGAATCGAACCGGGGGCCCTTCAGTACACAGGCCAATGCTCTATCCACTGAGCCACACCGGCCAGGGCTCACATGAGGTTTTGGTGGGCCCTGGTAGAGGCCGGCATCTTCGGTTTTCCAGGGCTGTGCTGGGGGCCTTCTGTGTAAATGGACAAGGCCATCTTTCTCTTTAAGGCAGTGGTTCTCAACCTTGGCTGCACGTTAGAATCACCTGGGAATCTTTTTGAAATCCTGATTTCTGGGCCTCATCCTCCGGAAATTCTGTGTCTTTGTTGTGGGGTGGGGCCACAACATGGGTAACAAAGAAACAGAATTTCCGGAGGAGGAGGCCCAGGAATCAGGATTTTAAAAAGATTCCCAGGTGATTCTAACGTGCAGCCCAGGCTGAGAACCGCTGCTTTAAGGCTTTCACAGCTTTGTCTCCCAGCCTCACTTTAGTGTATTCTGTTGTTAGGATTTATGCTGCTTTTACTGGCTCTTTACCCCAGCACATAAGCATGTTGAAGCCCTTCCTTGACCCAGTGTCCTTGCTGCGCTCCAGCATCCTCTCTCCCGCTTCTCTGCATCGGGAGCTCAGGGGGAGGGGAGCCGGTGTGAAGGGGATGGCGTCAGAAGCCACTCGGAGGAACACTTCTCCAATCATCACACATGGAAACTTCTAAGCAGGGGTTAGTTCTTATTCCCCCCGAGGCAAAGGGGACTCCGCTGATGGGAGTCTGTTCAGCAATACAATGTGTGTGATTATGAACGCGCCATGTACTTCTCTTTCCTTTTGCATGGAATGTATGTGAAGTAGAATTTTTTTTTAACATGTTTGTATTGATTTTAGAGAGAGGAAGGGAGAGGGAGAGAGAGAGAGAAACATCCATGATGAGAGAGAATCACGGACCGGCTGCCTCCTGCACGCCCCCCACTGGGGATGGAGCCCACCACTGGGCCTGTGCCCTGACTGGGATCGAACCCTGACCTCCTGGCTCATAGGTCGATGCTCAACCCCTGAGCCACACCGGCCGGGCTGTGGGGAGTAGAATTTATCAGAATTCCTGGTTTGTAGGCCACAAACCTCTGGTGGCGGCAGCAGCAGCAGCGAGCAGGTCTGTCTGTGCAGTCACGTGTCCTAGCCCTCGGGGAAGTGGCCACAGCTCAGTGTCTGACGCCTCTTGCTCTGATGAAGTCTGGCAGCTCCAGACAAAACGGGAGGGAAAATTGCCACTGACACAGCAAAATACCCTGAAGAAACATATTTATCAATGAGTCAATTTTTATCCCATAAGAGTAATTCGATTACATAATTACGTAGCCCAATACCGTGTAGTGGCAATTTAAGAAGGCATTTGAATTGCTCTTGTATGCCCTAATTTCAGATTAACTTTATTTTTTTTTGGAATTATTGATCAAACCAAAAATCGATATTGAGTATGCAGCCAAAAGTTGTCAGATAAAAAGTGCCATGGAGGGGTGTTAGGCAGTTTAAAAAATATATTATGTTGCCTTGTCTGGATTTTGCGAGGTTTAGGTATCTATCAACTCTTCAAAATTCATAATTTCTTGTGATTTTGCATCACACCAAATGTTGGACCGGTAATCTTATGTACTTTTCCTTAAAGAAGGCCCTCAGCCCGGCTGGCGTGGCTCAGTGGTTGAGCATCGAGCTGTGAACCAAGAGGTCAAAGTTCAATTCCTGGTCAGGGCCAGGCCCGGGTTGCGGGCTTGATCCCCAGTAGGGGGCATGCAGGAGGCAGTCCATCCATGATTCTCTCTCATCATGGATGTTCTATCTCTCTCCCTTCCTCTCTGAAATCAATTAAAAAATATTTTTAAAATAATAATTTTTTAAAAAGAGGGACCTCAAAAAGGTGTTAGTTTCAGGCCCTACAATGCCTTGACCATGCTCCGCTTTCCCCCATGACCCCGGCATGTGCATGTCATCATCACTGCTGTTCTGGTCCCCACCGCACTCCACACACATGTCCTTGGCCGGGCATGCTGAGAGGTGGCTCTTGGCAAAGGGAGAAAAAGGCCACGGCTCTGTCGTGTCCTAGCGCAGGGACTTGGAAACCATAGCCGTGAACCAGTGGGGCAGATCCAACCAGCTGACACACCGGGGACTGAGCACAGGAAAAGAAGGGGCGCTCCCTTTCCCACACGGGGCAGGCACAACGGCTCCCGCGGACAAGGGCCGCTCCGCCATCGACGGGGTGGTGACCAGAGAGCAGCCCATGGACATTCGCCAGGGCACCCCCGGAGCGGAGAGACCTGGAGATCTGCCCTGAAGGAGATGGAACCCAGGTGTGAGCCCTGACGCCAGGCGCGCCCAGCTGTCTGGGCCAAAGGAACGAGGGATGACGCTTTATGAAGTTTGAGTTCATAAATGTCCTTTGCTCTGTGATCTTAGTAAGTCGTGTGTTGTTTTAAATTAACACATTCTGTACCAGAGGCCAGGAGCATAAATGGCTAGTGGGTTCTCCCAGCTGCAATTCAACCTTAAAGCATCAGATGAGGATGAAGATTCACTCAACACGCTCTACACGCTGGTCACCTACAGACCTGTCACCACTTCCAGAAATCTACGAACAGTTAATGTGGCCCGGCCGGTGTGGCTCAGTGGTTGAGCGTCGACCTATGAACCAGGAGGTCACGGTTCGATTCCCGGTCAGGGCACAGGCCCGGGTTGTGGGCTCCATCCCCAGTGAGGGGCGTGCAGGAGGCAGCTGGTCCATGATTCTCTCATCATTGATGTTTCAATCTCTCCCCCTCTCCCTTCCTCTCTGACATCAATAAAAATATATTTTTAAAAATGCAAACAGCCCTAGCCGGTGTCACTCAGTGGATAGAGTGTCGGCCTGCGGACTGGAGGGTCCCGGGTTCGATTCTGGTCAAGGGCATGTACCTTGGTTGCAGCCTCCTCTCCGGCCTGGGCCCTGGTTGGGTTCGTGCAGGAGGCAACCAATCCATGTGTCTCTCTCACATGGATGTTTCTCTCTGTCTTTCCCTCTCCCTGCCTCTCTCCCTAAAAATCAATGGAAAAATATACTCGGGCGAGGATTTAAAAAAACACATACATACATACATACATACATACATACATAGAAACAGTTAATATGGATGAGAGCTAACTGCTGGTTGTCAAATAAATTTATAAAAGTGAAAAAAAAAAAAACAGAAAAAGGCACGGGGGGGGGGGGGGGGGGGGGGGGACCAGAGTGGGCTCCAGTTCTGTGTTTGACCACAAGATGGAGGTAGAAGAGTGGTCCCTCCATTCAGCCAAAAGCTCATTAAGAGCTAATCAGGTGAAGTGGGTTTTTCCGCTTCCTGCCGCTGCCTCCCCCCCCCCCCCCCCCCCCCCCCCCCGCCAAGCCTCGGTGCGCTCACTATTGTTCCAGTCTTTGTGGTTAAAGTTGTCACAAACCTGCATTTTTGTTTGTTAGCTCAGCTGTAGCGCGCAGTGTCTTCTAGACAACTCGCCCTGCTTCTCCCCGGGAAGGATTATGTTCTTATTAACTGCTATTAGGAGAATTTTCTGACTCGGAAGTCTCGGGACTTAAAAGTAAAGCCTCAGCTCAGTAATTGCCGGCTCATGCGCTGCGGTGCTTGGCGCCTTCATTACCGGCTGCTATTCCGTGGGCATTTCTCTGCGCCCGCCCCGTCGGGGTTCTGCACGGAGCGCTATCTGACACCAGCCCCATGCCTGTCTGTCCGAGGGAGATATGGGGCCCTCTAGCTTTACCAGGGCCTCGTGAAGGCTGAGTTACTATAGTAACCGTAAGACATAGGAGTGACTAGCCTAAGAAAGACAACGACCAAAATAGCGTTGAGCCCGGCTGCCGTGGCGCAGTGGTTGAGCGCCGACCTATGAACCAGGCGGTGATGGCTCTATTCCCGGTCAGGGCACAGGCCTGGGTTGCGGGCTTGATCCCCAGTGTGGGGCACACAGGAGGCAGCTGATCCGTGATTCTCTCTCATCATGGATGTTTCTCTCTCTCTCCCTTCCTCTCTGAAATCATTTTTTAAAAATAGATGTATTTATTTATTTTTTAATTCTCACCAGAGGATATTTTTCCATTGATTTTTTTTTTAGAGGCAGGGAAAAACAGAGAGAAATATCGATGTGAGACAAACACAGCGATTGGTTGCCTCCTGCGTGTGCCCTGACCAAGGCCTGACCAGAATCGAACCCAGGACCCTTCGGTCTACAGGCTGACTCTCTATCCACTAAGCCAAACTGGGTAGGGCAATCAAAATATATTTTTTAAAAAATAGAGTTTCCTGGATCCAACCCTCCATGTTCCAAGCTGACATTGGACACTGTCAGCCTCTTTCCCCGAAGGGATCTGGCTGGCTCCGCCCGTCAGGCCAACTCCATCAGCTCAGAACACTTGGCACAGAAAGTGCAGGGCGGCGGCTGGCCGCCTTCCTCACCTCTTCTGCAAGCTCCACCATCACTGAGGGCCTTGCCCTAGACACAGACTTGATATATGGAGGGGGGAAGGGGGGGCGCTTGCAGGAAACAATGAGAGGGCGAAGGGACCCCGCCTCTCCAGCAGTCCAGGCCACAGTGTCTGTCTTAGGGGGACGGATGTATCCCATGGGACAGTGGGTGCGGTTTTGTTTTTTAATATTTGTATTGATGTCAGAGAGGATGGGAGAGGGAGAGAGAGATAGAAGCATCCATGATGAGAGAGAAGCATGGATCGGCTGCCTCCTGCACGCCCCCCACTGGGGATCCAGCCCACAACCCGGGCCTGTGCCCTGACCAGGAACCAAACCGTGATCTCCTGGTTCATAGGTCAGTGCTCAACCACTGAGCCATGCTGGCTGGCAAACAAATATATATTTTTAAAAAGAAGAAGAAGAAGACGAAGACGAAGAAGAAGGAGAAGAGGAGGAAGAAATCTGGGAATCTGGGGTTCTGAAGCCTGAACTCAAAGGTTTTTGCTGGCCCTGCCCTCTCGTTTCCCCATCATGTAGGGGTAACACTGTGCCTGTCTCATAATTCGGTGTAAGACTATAACGAGACAACATCCCCAAAGTGCCCAAGATGCCTGTAGGCTTTTCAAAAACAATGGCTTTCCTCCTGCCCGCCCCCCCCCCCCCCCCCCAGCAGTTAGCAACATCAGCCAGATCCAAGCCCATAGCGTTTGGAAGCGGCACCGAAGACATCGTCATTGCCACTTGCATGTGCGGCTCCTACCAAGTCCTGACCGATTTGCTCATCCCAGGCAGGCAAGCATTTGGAGAGGTAAATGCTCCGTGTTCCCGGGGAATGTAAAACGTTTAATTAGATGCCAAGGATTGAAACTCTTGATTCAGAGCCCGAAATGGCTAATAAGGTTTTATTGTTGCTATTACTTCGAGTTTTTATAGAACTTTAGGCTGGCAGAGTGCTTTTCAATCACTCGAGAGAATCTAACTTTGTTAACAGCGAGATGAAAAAAATGTTCTATTCATCAGGAGAGACAACATACATAATATTTTAAGTATTTAAGAATTACGACCCTGCGGAGAGAACTACTGGCATTACCTTCCGCGGGGATGTGGGAGGCTCGGTGCGGGCGCAGGACATTAACGCAGACACCAGAGCCATTACCCCGCCGCGTGCGGGCCCACTGCACGTCAGGAAAGGGGGAAGTTTCTAAAACAAACATGAGCTGCCTCCGGCTACACAGACGGAGCTTTTGTCCACACGTGATTCTTGAACATTCTTCTAAGGGAACGCTTAAGGTTTTATGGGCGATCGTATTCTAAAACCGTCCCTGGTTCCAATACGACTTAATTTACGAGCGCTCTGGGTCAGTGAACTCTCCCGGGACTCTGCTGTGGGGCAGCTGCAATTGGAGACAGATTTGCACCAATTCTCCTAGAACTGTGGTCTGCAAACCGCGGCTCGCGAGCCACATGCGGCTCTTTGGCCCCTTGAGTGTGGCCACGAAGTTTCAATCGCACTGTACGTTCGCGCCCGAACTTGGTATTTTGTGGAACAGCCACACTCAAGGGAGCACGTGAAAAATGGATTTCCCTCCCCCCACACACCGAGGGCAAATCCAGGCCCCCAGCCTGTGGCTGTGCCAGTCAGCTTCTGCAGCGACAGTGCTGCCTAACAACTAAGTCAAAGCTCAGTGGCACGTCCTAGCCAGTGTGGCTCAGTGGATAAAGCGTCGGCCTGCGGACTGAAGGGTCCCACGTTCAATTCCGGTCAAGGGCATGTGCCCGGGTTGTGGGCTGGATCCCCAATAGAGGGTGTGCAGGAGGCAGCCAATCAATGATTCTCTCTCATCGTTGATGTATCTCTCCCTCTCCTTTCCTCTCTGAAATCAATAAAAACGTTTTTGTTTTTTAAACTGTGTCTAAAAGAAGCTCAGTGACGTACAGCAGTAAGTACTGACGCTCACTCATGGCTGCCTGGTGTCTGGCCCGGCTCTGCTCCCCTTCACACGTGTCCACGGCCCGGGGACCAGCCTGGCTACTGTCACGGAGACGGCAGAAGCCCAAGAGCCACCTCCAGCCTCCGTGTCATCCTTACTAGTGACCAAAGCCATCAGCCCACCCCTGTGGAAGGCACTGCAGTCACATGGCCAGGGGATTAGAGGGCGAGAATTGCGGCCATCTGTGTGAGCGACCGCAGGTGAGGCTGGGGAGAATAATTTTCTTGAAAAGGAAAGGAAAGGCCAAAACAATGTCAGCCATGTATGCATCCATTTTGATGGAGAGAAAGGCTTTTCAACTGGAGACCGAAATGAATGTCAACCCACTTCCAGCCTCACCTCTTGGAGCAGTTCCTAGGGCCTAGGCCAAAGGTCATGGGAAATTTTTGACTAAGCGCTGTGCTAATGGGCAATTTTATATATAATTGATTTCAGAGAGGCAGGGAGAGGGAGAAAGAGATAGAGACATCCATGATGAGAATCATGGATCAGCTGCCCCCTGCACGCCCCACACTGGGCTCGTGCCCTGACCAGGAATCGAACCCTGACTCCTGGTTCATAGGTGGACACTCAACCACGGAGCCACACCAGCCGGGTCAGGATGCTTGTCAAGTGGAGTGCTTTATGAACAGCACACAGGAGAGGAGCCCCCCGCACCCTCCTTCCCGTCTCCACAGGGTAACCCGCACTTACAGCCCGAGGCGGTGCGGGATGCGCCCTGGAAGCAGAAAGAGCGGAGGTCCCGGCCCCGGGGCTCCGCCGGGACCAGGCTTGGGCGGCGGCCACACACGCGGAGGAGAGGCTGTGCTCCCTGCCACTAGGCCCAGCCTCAGCTGGCCCCGGGCCAGGCTCGCCTCCGTGCCCATCTGTCAGGGTGGCACCTGGCCCTCTTCTAGAAGCAGATGGTTTCAATCGATGTTTCCTTGCCAGTCTCTCCTGCGTTAACTCTCCAAGCCGGCCCCGCCTCAGCCTGGGGCTCGGGCTCCTCCCAGCTCTGCTTCCCGTATCTTTTCCCTGGGGGCCAATTCTTTCTTCCTTTCTTTCTTTCTTTCTTTCTTTCTTTCTTTCTTTCTTTCTTTCTTTCTTTCTTTCTTTCTTTCTCTTTCTTTCTTCCTTTCTTTCTTTCTTTCTTTCTTTCTTTCTTTCTTTCTTTCTTTCTTTCTTCCTTTCTTTCTTTCTTCCTTCCTTCCTTCTCCTTCCTTTCTTTCTTTCTTTCTTTCTTTCTTTCTTTCTTTCAGTTTTCAGTTTTCTTCAATAGTAAGATTATAAGTGGATTTGTATATATGCAGGGGAAAATCGATAGCCTGATTGATATCAGAGAGAAGGGGACAGGGAGAGAGAGAGAAACATCAATGTGTGAGAGACAAATCAACAGGGCCTGGGAGGGAACCCGCAACCCAGGTACGTGCGCTTGACCAGGAATTGAACCTGAGGCCCTTTGGTGCACGGGCCAATGCTCTAACCACCGGCCAGGCAATAAGCTGAATTTTCTAGGACAAACTACCACCTACAAAGCACTGGCAGCTACAGTAAAAATCATGTGTTTTCCATCTCACTGATCTTGGCATGCAGCTCACCTCATATTCCCGGACCAAACCGGCTCGGGCCTTCCTGGCTGTGGACTTGGCCTGACAAACCCTCCCAACGAGAGGCAGAAACCACCACCACCACCCCCCCCCCCCACACACACACCTGAGCCTCAGGCGAGCAATCAGTGGCCCTGGGACAATGTGGGTTCACAAGTTATCTTGTTTTAAAGGCGCAGCCTGGGTCAGGGCTGCGGAATGTTAGACATCCCTAGGCAACATTGCACCTCAGGCCTGAGGCTCCCGCCAGGACAGGGACAGGCGGCTCTGGGGATCTGAGGATCGCTGGCCCAAGGACAGCAGGGCACTTCCCCCACCCCCAGCTGGCCCGGCCTGGGTGGCTCAGTAGGTGAGCCTTTCGCTTCCTGGTCAGGGCACAGGCCTGGTTTGCAGACTCCATCCCCAGCGGGGGCCTGCAGGAGGCAGCCGATCCATGATTCTCTCTCATTCTGGACGTTTCTATTTCTCCCTGTCCCTTCCTCTTTGAAATCAATAAAAATATATTAGAAGAAGAAGAAAGACCATATACCCTGGCATTTTTGAGTGGTGATACTCAGCCTGGGCAAGCACAAGAAAATGAGGCACCCACCGCACTGGCTGGGGGTGTGTGCCCACAGCACTGTTCTTGGGGGGCGGGGGCCCCCTCTCTTGTATCGGCCAGGCTTCTCCAGAGAAACAGAACCAATAGAACACTCCTTCAGGTTACATTTCGATGTGTCTTTGCTATGTCAGCGCCATGCTGGTTGTTTTCAATCTTCCCAGAAGCCTCAGGTGGGGAGCGTGGTGGATCCATGGACCACAGGGGGACCGCGGCCGGGGGTGGGGGGGGCGGGTAAGCAACCGGCCAGCCGGGGAGGAGGGGGACCTGCGTGTGGGCTGATTCCGTGTGGCTTCAAAGCTAGAGCTGAAGACGGGGAGAATGAGCACCGGCAGTCCAGTCGGAGAGGTTTAGTGTGAGGGACTGGCCTGCTCTGGAGGCGAAGGCTATGAGAGCTGCTCTCTGCAAACCCGGCGCTCGGGCCGCCGCTGGGCCAGGTCCCAGTCCGAGGGCAGAAAGGGGGGGTCAGCCCGACAGGCAGGCCCAGAGCAAGTTCTTCTCTTCTCGCACTGGTCCCACTCGGGTCCCCCACAGAATGGGTGCAGCCCACCCACACTGCCTGGGGCCGGGCAATCTGCTTTCCAGCCCAGATGCTCACATGCTGACCTCACCTGGGAACAGACTCACAGACTCAGTCAGAAATCACGTGCAGCCTGGCCGGGTGGCCCAGTGGTTGAGCCTTGACCTATGAAGCAGGAGGTCACGGTTCGATTCCCGGTCAGGGCACGTGCCCAGGTTGTGGGCTCCATCCCCAGTGAGGGGCGTGCAGGAGGCAGCCGATCCATGGTTCTCTCTCATCATGGATGCATCTCATCTCTCTTTCTCCCCCTCTCCCTTCCTCTCTCTGAAATCAATAAAAATATATTAAAAAAAACAAAAAAGCAATCACGTTTAACCAAATATCTGGGCACCCCAGAGTCCAGTCCAGTGACGCAGAAAATTCTCCAGCACGTCTGCGTCTAGACATCGCTCCTACAGACGTGAGCCGTCCAGGAGCCTCATTCCTCCTGGGGCACTGGCAGCACCTGCATGCTGACGGCAGCTGTGCAGGGAGAGGGCACCCTCTGGAGGGGCGGCTCCCACCAGCAGGCGACCGAGGACTCGGCAGTCACAGCCCGTGGAGGCCGCGCGGTCAGCAGCGTGTGGGCAGCTCAGCACTGAGCCCCCCTGGCGGGGTCGCTGTTTCTCAGGGGAGCCCCTGAGCAGTGGGTCACCTGCACGGAGGGGTCACATTGTGTGAAAAGATGTGCCTGGCACTGAGGGCACCTGAGGCGTGGGGTGTGTGACGTCCATCTCGTGCTCACTCTGAGTCAGCTCACGGACAGATTCACCTGTTATTTATTTAAATTGCTGTGTCTTGTGAGGTGTACATGGTTCAGTCAACATTCTTTAAAGGGGCGCATGGTGTGACTCCACTGCAAACTGACAAGTGCATAGAAAGAATGAAGTATGGCCCCGGCCAGTGTGGCTCAGTGGTTGAGCGTTGACCTGTGAACCAGGAGGTCACGATTCGATTCCCAGTCAGGACACAGGCCCGGGTTGTGGGCTCCATCCCCAGTGTGGGGCGTGCAGGAGGCAGCCAATCCACGATTCTCTCTCATCACTGATGTTTCTCTCTCTCTCTCCCTTCCTCTCTGAAATCAATAAGAACATATTTTTTTTAAATAAAGAGAAATAATAACTTTTGAAAGCCAGCACTAGCCCACCATGAGGTGACTCGCCCAAGCCACAAGAGTTGCGGCTCCTAAAAGGGGGAAATGGCCCTGGCTGGTGTTGCTCAGTGGATAGAGCATCAGCCCTGGGACTGAAGGGTCCGGGGCTCGATTCCGGTCAAAGGCACGCACCTTGGTTGCGGGTTCCATCCCTGGCCCTGGTCTGGGTGTGTGAGGGAGGCAACCAATCAATATGTCTCTCTCACATTGATGTTTCTCTCTCTCTCTCTCCCCCTCCCTCCCACTCTCTCTAAAAACCGATGGGAAAATACCCTCGGGTGAGGATGAACAACAATAACATGAAAATGAATGAATAAACAAAAAGGGGAAGTGGAGAGCCCCGCTTCAAGCACAGGTGCAGCTCTGGCTGCTTACCGAGCGCCCAGGCCTGCTGGGCCCCAGGACGGCAGCTCCCCCCCCACCCCCCCTCACTCCGCCACTGCCCCCCAGGGCTCCACACAAATGAGAACTGTCTCCTGCAGAGGCCTCCCTCTGGGGCACCCGCCTCCCGCCCTCCCCTAGGGCTGTGGCTGTGGCCACACACTGGGCTGGCACAGCAGGGGGCCGGCAGCGGGCGCAGGACGTTCGGAGGGACGAGCTGGCCTGGCCGAGCTGGGAGGCGCGGGCTTAAGGCCTGAAGCCACCCCTGAGCAGCTCCTGTCATTTCTGGCTGCGAGCTCAGCGGGTAATCGCTCTGCTGAGCCCCACGCTCTGCCCCGCGGCTCCCCAGACAGCCCTGCAGGGACTCTCATTTCAGCCCCAGAGCGGGGGGGGGGGGGGGGGGGCGCAGAGTGGCTCTCTGCCCATGGGGGTGGGTCCTGGGGGCACCCAGGGGAGTGAGCATGAGGGCTGCTTACTAAGGCCCCTGGGAGAGGAGGAGAGGGAGGCAGGGGAGGGAGGACACACTCAGTCAGCCAGGATGCAGGCCCAGGCCCAGCCTCAGCCTGTCACACCTGGATGACCGGATTTTCTTTTTCTTTTCATTTTTAAAAAATATTTTTTGGCCCTGACCGGTTTGGCTCAGTGGATAGAGTATCGGCCTGCGGACTGAAGGGTCCCAGGTTCGATTCCAGTCAAGGCATGTACCTTGGTTGCGGGCACATCCCCAGTGGGGAATGTGCAGGAGGCAGCTGATCGATGTTTCTCTCTCATCGATGTTTCTGACTCTCTATCCCTCTCCCTTCCTCTCTGTAAAACATCAATAAAATATATTTTTAAAAAATATTTTTTATTGATTTCAGAGAGGAAGGGAGGGAGGGAGGGAGAGAGAGAGAGAGAGAAAGAGAGAGAGAGAGAGGATAGAGAAGCAGCAATGATGAGAGAGAATCATGGATCGGCTGCCTCCTGCACGCCCCGTACTGGGGACCAAGCCTGCAACCTGGGCACGTGCCCTTGACCAGAATCTAACCCAGGACCCTTCAGTCCACTGGCCAATACTCTGTCCACTGAGGAAACCAGCCAGGGTGGATGGTCAGATTTTCATATCCCTGCAGCCATCACTCAGTGGCGGACCCTGAAGGGTAGGAGAGCTAAGGGCAAGGCCATGTGACCAGTTCTGCCCTGAGTTGTGAGATGAAATGACAGGTGTCACCCTCCAGTGCACAGTCCATGTGGGAGGGACCACAAGGGCATGACTCATTAGGGGTGAGGTTCGTTAGGCATCACCAAATAGCCGTCCGCCACAGCAGTCAAACATCACTGTTTCTTCCAGGCACCCATTCATTCATCACAGCTTTCTGAGCACCTTGCATGAGCCCATTGAGCTGGGCTCCGGAGATTAGAATCTGAACAGTCAGGGTCAAGGTGCTCTACATGCCCCAGGGGAGGTGAGTGCAAGCAAACATCGCCATGTACTGTGTTCATTTCTGCAGGGGAGGGAGCACTGCCTGGGGAAGTCCGGAGGAGATGACATTGAGCTAGCCCTTTTATTTTTAAATATATTTGTATTGATGTCAGAGAGGAAGGGAGAGGGAGAGAGAGAAACATCCATGATGAGAGAGAATCATGGATCGGCTGCCTTCTGCACGCCC